TGTTTTGAAATTAAACTAACAATTGGTATCAGAGCCACTAAACTCATCGATTTGAACCAAGTAATTGTATTCCTTGATTATCGCTTACCAGAGACGACCAAAGTCRYTGTACGACTGGTCTCGATTGGTTTGAAATTCAAGAAATCCACATGTCACCCAAGTGATTTTGGATTACAGTGATTCAAATACTATCACAATAGTCAAGAATCACAACATGAAAATCGAAAATTRATCATYGATGTTTTCGATTCACATACTGTCACAACAGGTTGATCGAAAACATTCACCCTACTGTATGATATTTTGAATCTCGATATGCTTTCATAAAAGGAAATCAGATTTGAAATTGATACATCAATTTTGATCAAGAAATCAATCATACAGTTGACTGATTACACATACATATAATTAACATAGTGTAATTTTGCTTCTTGATCCAGGATCACCAAATAAAATAGATAGACAACAATTTCTATCTCACTCAGCCCATTACCCTATGAATGTAGTTAACTTTGCACCCCTAAATGGTGTTAACTACAAGAAATGGAAGGAGGACATTGAACTTATGTTAGGAATTTTAGATTATGATCATGTCCTTAGGGAAGACCTACCAACAGAACCAGCAAATAATGCAGCTAAGGAGATAAAGCTTAAATATCAAGAGTGGCATAAACATAACAGGATAGCCTTAATCTATATAAAGAGATGTATCACTGATGCTGTTAAGGGAGGTATTCCAGAATCAGACCTTGCTAAAGTGTATCTAGCATCTATTGCTGATAAATACAAAGTTTCTGATAAGGCTGAGACAGGCTACCTAATGAATAAGTTAATCAGAATGACTTTCAATGGACAAGGAAGCATAAGAGAATATATTTTGCAAGGTATTGACACTGCTTGCAAACTCAAGGAGATGAAAATCTCAATAGATGATTCCTTCCTGGTTCATCTTCTKCTGAACTCCTTACCAGATCAGTATAGCCATTTAAGAAGTTTRTACAACACACAAAAGGAGAAATGGACATTGGATGAACTGATTACCATTTGTGTCCAAGAAGAGTCAGAAATTAAGAATAAGGGTAAGGCTGTGAGCATTAACCATATATCCAAAGCCAAAAACAAAATAAAGAAACACTTTAACTTCAACAAAGCAAGTCCCTCTACTTCCTCGATCCARAATGTTAAAGATAAAGGAAGGTTCTTCAAAAGAAAAAAGGAACAAAAGTGTTTCTTTTGCAAGAAGGCAGGGCACTTTAAGAAGGATTGTGCTGGATTCAAGGAATGGTTAAGCAAAAAGGGTAATATTAATCATCTCTTTTCTTTAGAAACCACAGATTATAAAATTGATCATACATGGTGGTTTGATACGGCTTCACCCATTCATATTATTAACTCAATGCAGGGATTATCAAAGATAACAATCCCAAGGGCGAATGAGTCAAAAGTATGTGCAGCAAATGGACAAGAACTGAAGGTAGAAGCTGTTGGAGAATGTAGATTACTATTTAAGAATGCCTACGTTATAACATTGAACCATGTGTATTATATACCTAGAATAAAAAGGAACCTAGTGTCAGGTTCTCGAATTGTAAATGATAATAATGTTTCATTCTATGCTGATAAAGATTGTATGCTATTCTATTTGAATGATGTATGTTTTGGAAATGCATACTTGATAGATGGGTATTGGTACTTGAATTGTATTAATGAAACCATCAATAAAGGATACAAAAGAAATATATACTGCATAAACAAAATAACAGGAAGCATAAAGAAACATAAGCAAAATGTTTCCTCATTCTTGTGGCATAAGAGGTTAGGACACATATCAAAGTTTAGACTACAAGAACTGGTGAGACAAGGAATCCTACCAGATTTAAACTTTGATGATTTTGAAACCTGCATAGACTGTTTAAAAGGAAAAATGACAAACTCTAGGAATTTTCAGTCTAAGAGAAGCCAAAGTATTCTTGAGCTGATCCATACAGATATATGTGGACCTTTCCCAGTCAAAACAATATGTGATAATAAATATTTTATTACATTTATTGATGACTATTCAAGGTACTGCCATATATTTCTAATGGCAGAAAARTCTCAAGCATTGGACTGTTTTATCAGCTTCAAAACTGAAGTTGAAAGACAAAGTGAGAAAACTATTAAGACAGTCAGATCAGATAGAGGAGGAGAATATTTTKGAAAATATTCGGAAAAAGGACAGCATAAGGGACCTTTTGCCACATACTTGGAACAAGTTGGAATTAAAGCCGAATACACAACTCCATACACTCCAACACAAAATGGAGTATCGGAGAGAAAGAATAGAACCTTGATGGACATGGTTAGGAGTATGTTTGCAAGATCAAATTTGCCAAAATTTCTYTGRGGAGAAGCCTTRAAAACGGCAAATTACATTAGYAACAGAACTCCAACCAAAGCTGTAAAAGGGACACCTTTTGAATTGTGGAATGGATACAAACCTAGTTWAAACCACTTTCATGTGTGGGGTTGTAAAGCAGAAACCAGGGAATACCATATTGAGAGTCTAAGCAAATTAGATTCGAGGTCACTCTCTGCATTCTTTATTGGATATTCAGAGAAATCCAAAGGATACAAATTCTTTAATCCTGGAGGAGGACAAAGAATATTTGAAACTAACAAAGCARTGTTCTATGATGAAATGTTTAATGAAGACACTGATTTAGGAAGTTGTTCTCAAGATCCACATGGATTAAATGATTGGTTGACTTACCATGAAGAGGAAATTCCATTAATCCTTGA